GAAATTCACACTTAAGTCATATGGTAGCTTGTTAAACTGATTAGCAATTTTCTTTTTTTTTTTAGAAATTTATTTTTTGGGATCCCTGGGTGGCGCAGCGGTTTGGCGCCTGCCTTTGGCCCAGGGCGCGATCCTGGAGACCCGGGATCGAATCCCACGTCGGGCTCCCGGTGCATGGAGCCTGCTTCTCCCTCTGCCTGTGTCTCTGCCTCTCTCTCTCTCTCTGTGTGTGACTATCATAAATAAATAAAAATTTAAAAAAAAAAAAAAAGAAATTTATTTTTTATTGGTGTTCAATTTGCCAACATATAGAATAACACCCAGTGCTCCTCCCATCAAGTGCCCCCCTCAGTGCCCGCCACCCAGTCACCCCCACCCCCCGCCCACCTCCCCTTCCACCACCCTTAGTTCGTTTCCCAGAGTTAGGAGTCTCTCATGTTCTGTCTCCCTCTCTGACATCTCCCACTCATTTTTCCTCCTTTCCCCTTTATTCCCTTTCACTATTTTTTATATTCCTCAAATGAATGAGACCATACAATGGAATATTACTCAGCCATTAGAAACGACAAATACCCACCATTTGCTTCGACGTGGATGGAATTGGAGGGTATTATGCTGAGTGAAATAAGTCAATCAGAGAAGGACAAACATTATATGTTTTTGTTTTTTAAACAAAGATCCTGAGCAGTATCTTTACTCTTTCTATATTAAATACATATGCATGGAAGCATGTTCAAATTACTTTTACAAAAAAAAAACATAGAGGTCCAGTTTTGTAAATTTCTGGTTTAGATATTGCTAAAGAAAAGCATTGCAAAGAGAAGCATTTCTTTTGAAAACCAAACCAAAACAAAACAAACAAAATAAAACACCCTGACTTCTGTAATGCCTCTGATATTTGTATTATTAAGATAATGGTTTTGTCATCCTGCTCATAAAGTTAAATCAATACTTTCCTGCCTCTTCAAGCTTTCTACATTATTTGCAGCTGCTGACCATTCTCTTTTTCAAAACTTTTCTCCTTATTTCTCTGAGTTTATAATATCTGATTTTCCTCCTGAATCTATTTCATTCTTTCCCCTTACTTTCTTCCTCCAGTCATCTTTTATATATTCTATTCCCACGTCTTTGTCCTTGGCATTTGTTCTTGTTATATGTGTCTTCCTAGATGACCTCATATACAATATGGCTTTTAGTGCCATGTAAATGCTGACAAATCTCAGAGTATGATAAATCATCTCTGTTGAATGTCATATCAAAAGTCAAAGCATTTGTACGTAGGCATCTCAAAGCAAGATATTTATAATATGTTCTTGTCCTCTTGATCTCTTAGTCTCAGTGAATGAAATCACTCAGCCAAGATCACTCCAAGTCTCTCTGATCTCACTCATTATTCAGTTATTTATGAAAGACACAAAGAGAGAGGCAGGGACATAGGCAGAGGGATAAGCAGGTTCCTTGGGGGAGTCCAGTGCAGGACTCAATCCCAGGCCCTGAGGATCACGCCCTGAGCCGAAGGCAGACACTCAACCATTGTGCTACCCAGGCATCCCTCATCCTATATTTTTAATAAGCCCCAGAGTTACAGAGTCTACATTCTTATTATCATTTATATCAATTCTCTCAATTTCACCTGTCATTACCCTCATTTAGGATTTACCAGTTTTACCTGAACACTGGAGTAACTTGCTAATAAATTTAATACCCATTCTCACACTTCTCTTCGCACACATCCAGGGTGATCTTTGCAGACATTCATTGATAAAATAATTTCTCTGCTTACAGTTCTTCAGTGGACCCCTATAAGTTCAAATGCCTTAACATGGAGCTGAAGGTATTTCATGTTCTGGTAGGTGCCAACTTCTACAGTTTTGTCTCCTGCCAATTCCACAGGTGTTCCCTCTTCCTCATCTACACAAAACTAATCTATTTCTCTGGAAAGGACTACTAATGAGGAAGCGTGTCATTCTACACTGTTCTTTCCTGTCTTTATTTACTATCCCATGATATACACACATATTTCTCGGATAGTCAGACAAGCTTCCTAATGCATGTGTGAGAGACGGGCATGATTGTATGTGTCTGTGTTATCCACTTAGGTCATATTTCTCTTATTCCAGTCATATTTGTGTACATACTTATGCATACCTCTTTCATTTGTGGCACTTACCTGAATACCCATGATTATTTTTACTGTATTTTAAGTAGTCTGAGGGCAGTGTCCCACATTTTTTTCTCTAGTAGGGTCAAACAAAATATATCACAAGAGATCATAAACATGTATTATTTGAAAAATGAGCAAAACTGTAGAGAATAAAAAATAACTCAAAATTTATGATATGCCATTGCTAAATATTTCCTCAATATAATAAATAAGATATTGTTTTATTCTCTTGTCACAGAAATATAACCACCAGAAATGTTGCCGATGCTTGTTAGAAGTGATTTACTTCTGAGCCTTCATAACTATTGATACATGGGGCACCTGTTGACAGTAATATTCACAGACAATTAAGTAATTTATTTCTCTGAATTTATACTTGAAATCTTTGGCCTGTGTGTTCATTCATTTCTTTCCCTGTCAGATTGTCCTCTCTCCTTCCTATATCATTCCATGGTACCAACGGAGAGAATGTTTTCTTCATCCATTAGAGCTCAGGTCCTCAACCAGTCTTCCCTCTCCTGATTCTCCTCAATCACTTGACAATAATCCTCACTTTGATACCATGACCTAAAAAATGATAATCTATTCCCATTGTTGTCGCAGATTATATTTAGGGCCCACCATTCAAATAATATTTTATCCTGACAACAGTCTCGGAAGGCTACTTATTTTCTCACAAAAGTCTTATCTGGGGACAAGCTAAGAATTTTTCCAGATCTACATGAGCCTTCCAGACTACAACCTTTTTGTTGTCATTGTCCTTTACTGTAAAATCATACTACACAGCAAAATTTTAGGCATCACCTGCTGTGGCAGAGAATGCTGGTGTTTACCACTAGTCCTATTTCTCCTCTTCTTTCTGTGCACACAAACTATAATTCCCAGCTCTCATGCAATTACATGGTGCTTTCTGAGTTCCACTCAAGGAAAAAGAAGTGAACCTCTGTGTACCACCTCAGGGCTGGCCTCTGAAACACCTCACTGCAATCTCTTCACTCTCCCATCTCTTAACTTCCAGCAAGTCCTGCCTGGAATAATCCTGGGCACCTTTATCACCCTAACACATAGTCATTTGCACTATGCTGTATCGAAAAGGGAGCTTCCTGATTTTAAGGAATGAGACTTGAAGATATTAAGAATAGCTGTTGTTACTTTTCTTAATCAATATATCTTCTAAATACCAGGCTGTAGCCTTTCATTCCAAGGAGAATATGATGAGCCACTCATTTTGTTTTTCTCAATTTCCACGATTTTCATTATCTTGAGTAATTTATTGCATTCTAAATTTCTTAATATTTTTATGACAATGATATCACATCATTTTTCTTCAGTAAACTCCTCCTGAGGCCAAAGGAAGGATTTATAATCCCATAAACTGAATTATATTCCAAATCCCCATCTCTAATAACAGATGCTTATCCTCACTAAATATATCCGTTCACGCACTTCGGTCTTAAATCTCTCTTTCTATATACTTATATATAGTTTTTCATATCATGCTTCCTGGCTTAACATTCCTAATTAGCCTCATCATCATGTTGGGCCACTTCCTATCACTCTTATGTTCCATCTTCCTGTGATCCTGCCTTTCTTCTACTTCCCTCTGAATGCATTCTCAACCTGGATCTTTCTAATCACATTTTCCGTCTTCTGAGCTGCTGAGCTTTCTTGGAGAACATCACATAATTCTGCTGGGAGGGGGGCAGATTTATAGTTTTCAATTTTAGTTGTGTCCTCAAAACCTTTTACTCAAATCCTTTTACTTAAATGCCTTGGAGCATGATAGCACTGACCTGTGTAATGGTGTGAACACAGCTCTTCTTTCCACAGCATCTTGTACTTGCTTCGGGGTGCTGGGAGGAGGCTTTTGCACACACCCCAGCGTGAATGAACTATAGTCCCCATGCTTTATTACCCTGCTCTCCAGCCACTCCTTTACCTTCCATTAGCCCACACCTGCTCTACACACCATTGCTCATGGAAGCCTTGCCACGGCCAGTCGCCACTCTGAAATGCCAGCATCCCTCCCAGAGATGCTATCATCTGATGCTCTGAGCATTTCTCTTCCTTACAGAGTCAGAATGATGCATAGTTCACCCTCATGGCAGAAGAAAAGAGCTTCATCTCAATGTATAATTGTATTCCGTCACCTAAACACCATGTCATCATCTACCGTATACTCATTCTTTTCTCTGCTAGGTTCTTCCCCAACAAAAATATCTTTTCCACTACTATATAAGAAAATAGACAATTGTATACAACAGATACAAGTATGCAGAGGTAAATTAACGTCTAATCCACTTTGGAAGTAATGAGCTAACTATTCATTAATACCTTTCTCTGTGTCCTCTCTTTTTACATTTTCCTTGGCTGATTTAGGAACAATGAACATTCTACCCAAAACTTTTAATTTTTATATTATATTTATTTATTTATGATAGTCACAGAGAGAGAGAGAGAGAGAGAGAGGCAGAGACATAAGCAGAGGGAGAAGCAGGCTCCATGCACCAGGAGCCCGACGTGGGATTCGATCCTGTGTCTTCAGGATCGTGCCCTGGGCCAAAGGCAGGCGCCAAACCGCTGCGCCACCCAGGGATCCCACTACCCAAAACTTAGATAAGAATAATGTTTGATGTAGAAGCCTATACGGGGAGAAGAGTTTCTCCAAACATTTATTCAATAAAAATGTGTTCATTCATTCATTCAACAAGCAATGTTCTTGGAATTATACTAGTTCATGAGGAAGTGTGTGTGTGGTGTGTGTGTGTGTGTGTATAAGATTGTATTTATTTATTTATTTATTTATTTATTTATTTATTTATTATTTTTTACTCAGACTCAGTCCCAGGACCCCAGGCTTATATCCTGAGCCAAGCTGGATGCTTAACCAACTAAGCCACCCAGACACCCCAGGAAGTATGTATTTCTCTATTGCTTACTTTCGGTCTGCAAGGTAGGCTCATTGTAGGAGTGGGACAGTTTGACAGAGAAATAAGTACAATAAAATGCCAAAATTACTATGATAAGATTTAGTGTAATATAAAATGGAGTCACAAAGGAGAGTGAATAATTTGAGATGGAAAATAAAAGCTTCTTAGAGGAAATGTTATACGAAAAGTTTGAATTTGTTTATATAAGTAGTGGCTATTTCTCCTAAATAAGATTATTGCAAGCACCAAAATGTAGGAAAGATATAGAATCATTTTGTCAAGTTCAAAAAAGTAAAATAAAATGATTTTTTCTATGCAGATGTGTACATACATAATTGCACAAGAAGGTTAATAACCTCCTATTAAATATGGACTATCTTTGCATTCTGTTCTTATTCTTACTCTTCCATGGACTGGTCCTACCACATTTATACAGTAAGCATAATCTGACCATAGATTTTTAAATTTTACTCAGTATAGTTCTCTGTCAAACCTCCCTGTATCTCAACTTGCTTGAAGTTAAACTTTATTATTTTAATTAAAGGCATTTAGAGAGTATCTACCTATGTTCAAGGCACTGTACTGTATGTTGTGGTTGAGGAGGTAAAAGGCATGTATGTTGATGAACAAAGTTTGGTCTTTACTCACAATCAGTTTACACTAGAAGGAAAAGGACAAACTATTATCTGAGTCAGATCTCCTTCATTTATTTTTTCCAAAAAGTCAACATGGGTGCTTTGTTTTAAAGACTACTTTTTAAGTTTTGTCTCAGCCAAAAGATGATAATCATTCTCTGCTTGAAGGCAGTAGTAAAGACCTGATAGAAGTTAAATTAATAAAGAACAACAGAACAGCATGGTTTAGGTGGGGGGAACGGAAAGCATAGTTTGGTACAGATTACAGCCCTAGATTTGTTATTCACAACAGATATATATGATGGTTTTGAGAAAAACCACTTCGAACATTCCTATGTAAGAGCAAAAGCTTACTAAGAATTGCTATTAAAGAATAAAATTTAGGTTATTAACTTCCACATGAAAGGAAGGTTTTTTGCTTTTTTTTTTTTTTTGTAGTTGCTTTTTTGCATTGTTTATTTGGATAATGGGCTAGCCCTGCCTTAAGATGGCACATAGAGATAACAAGTATGCAGATGCTTCAAAGCTACTTCATTCCCATCATAGTTATAGGTCTCCAATGTAGGACACTAAGATCTAAGCAATACATCTTTTTAGTAAAGGTCATCATTCTATACTTTCTGAAGTAAACAGAGGCACACTAAGTATTATGAGACAAGAGGAATTAATAAAGTACTTAGGGTTTTCATACATGTAGAAAGAGCAGAGGCTGTGCAGACAGATCATGAGGCTATTGCTGGAAGGTCATGGAAACAGTTACAGAAGACATCAGGCTGTGTAATCAAAAGAAGTGTGCAGGGAAAACACCACAGTTCTGAATCAATTGAGTACTATCCTACATACTACATCATCTTGCAACAGGCAAGTTGGAAATTGCTGAGGATTCTGAGTAGCAGCCATATTTGGTCATCAGTATCTCTTAAGAATATAACAACTTCTCCCTATTTCTGTTTTTCATACCAAAGCTGAGGGTCACTAACTGGCAATTACTAATTTGGAAAAATTGAGGAAAGAAAGCCGGAAGAAATGTAGTACGTGAAAGGAGAGTAATACCGCCTTTACTAGAGCACAAGAAAGATCTAGTATTTTAAACAAGACTTGATATTTGCTATCCCAAGGCATTGCTACTCAGCCTTTTTTATACTAGTAAATAAATAATTTGATTATTATTTCAATTATGATAATTTAGCATAGTTTTATAATCTAATTTGAAATTTTAGAGATAATGAATATTAAGCCTTCATTTCCTAATACATTTCCTGTACACTGAAGAGTACACTGAAATCTGCTATTATTTATGAAAACTTGTTTTTCCTCAGCTTGTAACAATTAAATGACATCAAAACAATTTTATTAGGTTGATAATACAATGAAAACTATTGATTCTATCACTAATTTTTATATTAAGAATGTACTTATTTTTCTGTAAAATCGAAATATACAGTCATTTATATTCTCTATTTTTCATGAGCACATAAAGCCCTTATTTTTCAAAAAAAAAAAAAGAGCCCATGAGACACATGGTGCCAATGCTTCTATGTTATACTTATGGTTTATATACATACACATATATGAGTGACTAAGCTCACACTCTGCCTCTCTTACACACACACACACATAGGTAGCACTTTTATCCAGGTTGGTTACTAAACCTATCAGTAGAAATTCTCTATTCACAGAAACACAATTTTCTTATTAAACACCATGATTTTTTCTTTCTGAGCCAAATCCAATGTCTTGAACTACTGAAAATGTTTTTTTTTGTTTTTTTTTGTTTTTTTTTTGTTAGTACTGCCAATATTCCCAGAGTTAAAGCAGTGATGCTTTTCTTAAAATAATTCTGCCTTCTGGGCAACAGGCATTTTTCAGCATTAAATAAGAAAAAAAATGGTTTTGTAGCTGCTGTTTTATTGTGTGTAGACCTATGTTAAGATACTTTTAAAATTAAATGTCAAATCCAGATTGACAGAGGAAACACACCAATGCTTGATATTTGATGAGAAGCTGTCAACCTGCCTCTCCCTGTCAAATTACCAGCCTCTCCTTAAGACTACTTTAGTAAGTGATAATACAAGCAGTGCTCCACACATGAAGGTCTCAATCCTATATAATGTGTGTGCGTGTGTGTGTGTGTGTGTGGTCCAGGTGGATATGAGACAAGTTATTTATTATTTGGAAATTGAATATCATTCTCTTAATTCAGGTTATGGTAGGAACATTCTTTGTAGGTGAATCAATGATTCAGAAATACCATTCAGAGTTAGGCATGAAAAGGCAAGTTGAATTCCTTCTCAGTAGTAATTCCCATGAAAAATTGCCTCTTTGAACCTTAGGCTATGGTTTTAAGGGAAGTTTCTATTCCGTTTTTTGCCATGGCAATACTCTTAGTATTTCTTAGCCTGTCATTTCATTTCATTTTTACTAAATATCGTATGTGTATAGGTGTGCATGTGACCGTGTGTAGCCAAGAACATGGAAAGGAATTGGTTGTCGGGATGTTGTAGCCCTATTTTACATTCTTACACACACACACACACACACGTCATTTTAAGTGGTTATAGATTTCTCAGGAAATTATATAATTGCTAGTGTTTCAGAAAATGCAGGCAATTACCTAAATGTTTGAAGCCCTTTACCTCACCCCTAATCAAAACAAAACTTAAAAAAAGGAGGACATAATATTGCATTATTGCCAATACGGGAACCCAAAGAGATAGATACTTCTGCCCTGATTTCTGAAAGCCGCAACACAAAAGAGTGCTCTTACCCTGGACTTCTGATTTTAAACAAGTAGCCCAGAGATGAAACCGGGAGTATGCAGTTGACTCATAAAGGCAGATCCAGTTGAAGGGTCACTGGCGCCTGGCAGTGGCAGCAGCAATCTCAGGCAGCACTGTGCCACTGACCCTGACTGCTCCCGGCGCTGTGTCCTTGGGTGCGGGTATGAAAGCCTAGAATTATTTTCTGTTTCCTCATTGTCTTCCTGCCCTCCAGATATCATGAGCTAATCACTTCATTTTGTATCAAAAGTTTTTTCTACCTAAGCTGGTTATTCTTTCTATTGCTTAAATTGGAGAACCTTGACTCGAAGATGATTTCTAAAGCTATATTCAGAGACACAGGCTAACTTAAAATTATTTTATCTTCCTGCTAACTTGAAGCTTTAATCACCATGCAGTTTTCATATAGATAGCCACTATTACTCTTTTCCTTATGGTCTCTTTTGTCTGATATGAATATAGATACAACCACTTTTGTGCAGAATTTATGCGTAAATAAATATAAATTTATGTACACAACTGTGTGTGTATTGTATAAGTGTGTGTGTGTGTGTTCTTAGATTTCAAGATTTTTCATTCTTTATATTTTACATATGCTTCTTTTAAAGAGTATAAAGATTAGTATTTTTTAAATCTTGTCTGGTACTCTATATCTTTTTTAGATTTTATTTATTTGAGAGAGAGAGAGAGAGAGAGAGAGAGAGAGAGAGAGAGAAAATGAGGGGGAGGGAGAGAGGGAGAAACAGACTCTTCACTGAGCAGGGAGCCCAATGCAGGGCTCGATTCCAGGACCCTGGCATCATGACCTGAGCCCAAGGCAGATGCTTAACTAACTGAGCCAGCCAGGCACCCCTGGTACTCCATTCTTTTGCTAGAAGATTTGTATCATTTAGATTTAAGCTGACAACTGATAATTTTAATTATTTTATTTATTTTCCTGTTTTATGCTTTCTGTTGGTCTTGTTTAATTTTTATTTTTCTACCCTTCCTTTTTTTTTGAATATTTGAATGTTTCTAATTGCTTTTTCATTTTTGCTTTTGAGTGAAACACTGCCTTAATAATTATTTAACAAAATTCTACTGTTAACAAACCCTCTGAAAATCCTGTTAATATTTTTAGAGCCCAGTCCAAGAATATACTTGGAGACACCTGGTTCTTCTCCTCCCTCCTACATTTTCTGACCTCAGAGGCTCCTAAGAACCTGAGTGTGGACACCGTGGCCACATGACTGTGCTCTGCTCAAAATCCCACCCATCTCTTCAAAGAGCCACCTTTTGGCTCCTCCTCAAGCCTGAGAGTGCAACAAGAGTTACAGTAGGGTTATCATCCAGCCAGTGGCAGAAAAGCCTAGGGCAGAAAGCCTATCCTGCATAGGTCTAAAGAGTAACTTGAAGTAATTGAAGGGCACAATTCTGGGGTTCTATATCTCTACACAGCATAAGTAGAAGGAAATACGTCCTAGGCTCTGATGGTCATATCCCCAAGTCCCCAGAGATTCAGAGCCCTGTCAGTTAGCCACATGGTAAGAAGGCCTGGAAAAGAAACCCTAAAGCCAAAGGGTTAGGACAGA